CCAACAGTGAGGAATGAATAAGGATGGCTGGGACCCCTGTGAGTCCTGCACTTATCATTCTCCATCTCATAAAGAGCTACCAGAATGAATGTGCTGAAGGGAGGTTAACCAAGGTCACAAAAGCAATTTTAGCTCTGAATTTTCTATCTTCAGATTGCTTGACTTTGCAACCTTAACGTTCTTTTAAATTCTGAAGAGTGTAAGTGTATGTACGTAAACAACTAAGTATACAGGCAAATTACATGCTTTGTTTTCTCCCTTAAGGGGGATTCTGGAGTACCTCAACATGGCTGGATGATAAGCTAGAATCTCTGCTCTACTACTTTTAGAGGAAAAGTTATTGGCAGCTAGTAGCTAGATGACATTTCAGTCAGTGTATCTGAATTTAGTAGGAGACATCAGTGTTCTACATTTATTCAGGAAAGCAGAGAAGTAAAACAACTTCTCCCAATATCCAACTTCCACTCAGCCTTGCAATTTGAAATAAACCAATTAAATTGGGCATAGAAAGAATAAAAACTGAAATAAACACAACATGTTCTGGACCCTGCAGAAGAAGCTACTGACATCAAAAGCTGGTTTATCATGTCAGCATGCTCCAGCTGCTTTACCAATGACTTCTCTCAAGTCAAGATTAAACTTCTCTTACATTTCAGCAGTGACCATGCATAATTTGAATATTATTTGCATTTTATTTAAATAATTTAAAAATGTGATACTTTAAAAAAAACTATTTGAGGTATGATTACAAGGATTTTTCCTACCATGATTTTACAGTACTGTTAAAAATATTTTTCATGTATATACTAGAAATTGGTTTCATTCTGCTACTGGAAAACAAATCTCTCTCTTGTTACCTCTCAGTTAGGAGGTAAAATTATATCTGCTGAGAAAATCACTCTAAGGTATCTCCTTGGTGAAAATCTGCAAATACTTGACAACATGGTAGGCTACTAAAGGACGCATCTTTTCAACAAAGCAAGCAGGGACCACCAACCACACACCTAGCTAATACCACATTAACATTAACAGAAAGTAAGAACCAGGTGACCTGTTAAGCAAGATGTCTTCTCCATCTTGCACGAGCACTGCTGTAGAGGGAGAGCATCGGCAAGGCACAGAAGTGGCAGAACCAGATAGAAGACAAACAAAAAGAGTCCCTGTTTTCTAGCATTTGGGAAAGCTGTAATGTAAATTGGTAAACAACATGAAACCTACAGAAATAAAAGCAGACAGGCAGGCAGTCTCACAGGTGCAGTAACGTGAAGGGAACTCGTGGGCCTGCTGGAGAAGGAAGGGGATGATGCTGTCTGGCACAGCACACTTAACAGTGGGACAGAGTTAGGAAGAGGTAGACAGGATTCTTCAGCTTTCTATTTTTTTGCCTAAGTTTCCTTTCCGGGCAAACGTCTCTGATGAGGGAAAATAAGTCTATCTGCTAATTTTTAATGGTAAGATGCCCTTCTTCCTGTGTTTGGGCCATGGTACAATTCCTAAAGCAGGTTAGCACAGGCATATAGGCATAGTGATGAAAAAAATATGAAGAGATATTCTCTCTATCTATAAAAGAGATACTGAAAACTGAGGGAAAGGAACCTTTTAATGAGTCTTTTTCATTTTACTAAGAATGTAATGGTACAGAAGATTTCAAGTGGCTAACACCCAGCAGGACTTCAGGAAAAGAAGCGGGCCACATACTTTCAATAGAGAGGCACCACTAACACAGGCATGTACACATGACACTGTGCATTTCTGTAATGTGACTTTCTGCCATGAAGAATTCCTGTCATATCTGCACTTGGGCAGAGAAGAGCACATTACTGTTTTCTTCCTGGCAAGCTGTGGCAGCTCTTGCTTTGCACAGTTTCCTGAATAACTGCATTAATTTAATTGACTCCAGATCAATAGTGTCTTTAAATAATATTAAATTACACGTTCCTTCTGTCTGTGTGTTAGAGGAGATTACTCTTAGCAGAATCTCAAAGGAAGCAATTAGCTGACCACTGATGTAATGAATCCTAATTATTTTGTTTGTACAAACACTAAAGTCAGAATCATTTGTTTAGCAAGGAAGTGTAATTACTCTGAGCACTCAAGAAAATAAATCAAACAGCGCTACCTACACCTGTAAATAACGAGCCTTTGACTTCCTCTTTATGCTAAGAATACTCATAGAATGTTTTCAGGTAGCTGGGAGCCAACCTTTGAAAGTAACACTTATCGTACTTATTACTGAGCATTTCCTTGATTATATTCTTAGGTGTGCTAGGTGCCCTGCAGAAATATCCATCTACATTGCCCTGTCACTGGCACCTGCTAAAAATTCACTGCAGCCAGTGCAATTTCCTGCAACTGTTTTTTGTTAATCAACAAGAAGTTGCTCACATCGCAATCATTAGCCTGTACTGCTCCTAAGGGCACCAGTGGCTAGGGGCATGTCCTCAGCAAAGAATGAATGAACAGAAAAAAAGCGCATTACTATACATGGAGCAGGCTCTATTCTGCCCAACATTTGGCCATGCAGGCTAGAAACGGAATAAAACCAGAAGGTATTGGAATGGGAGTGGCTGAAGCTGGGTCTTCCCCTTCTCCAGGTTGGTCTGCTGCTGCTGCAAAATATTCACAGCTCAAACAGGAGAGACAAGCAGAGTCACTGGGGACCTCATGTTACAGAAAGCAGTGATCAGTCCAAAACCACCTGGAATTCTGCCACTTCTGCTGATTCTGTGTGACCCAAAACCATGAGGGAGCTGACAAATTATAGATAACCTGATCCCATTGCATGCAAACTCACTGGATGTTGCAAGTACAGTGATGCAGCTCCCAACCATGTGCACTTTCTGCAGATATTAACTCCTGAGATCAGCCATTCTCTCAGGGTAGTTGTTTTCCTTCACCATGGTTTTGAAAGGGTATTCAAAACATACAACAATATTTTGCATAATCTTTCTTCATTTCTAGCCACACTTTAGGTGTTAAATCTGAATTCAAAATAAACTGCAAAGCCATGAATTCTGCAGTTGGTTTGCTTTTCCTCTCCTGTCAGCCTGAACAGTGAAGCACCCAAAAGGGATCATTATTTTCTCGTTCTCTTAAGTGGTGCTCAACAATCTTATGGCAACACAGACTCACATCCTGATAAAACCCCTAGCCTGAATGAAAAAAAAAAAAAGTCACTTCTGCTTACAACTCTTGGATTCTCATTGTAGTGACACTGTTTAGATACAGAATGAATGCTCTGAAGCCAGCAAAAATCACACTGAAGTGAACAAGATGTAAGTTACTGCAACTTGTATACTGGCTGAAGGGAAACTGCAAATCACTTGTTGGTGCAGTGGGAGCCATTTCCATCATGCTTATGAAGTACTTAAGTTCTTTGTACCTTCCCACTCCAAGCTGTTTCTCTTTGTGTTCGGTAGCTATTAAAAATTCATAGAATGCTTTTTTTGGTGCTCTTACTATAGGCCTAATTGACAAACATTTGCTGCCTGCCATTATGTTATTCCAATATCCTTGAAAATTAACTGAAGACTTTAGTCTCCTTCGGAGAATTTAAGGAGCAATAAATACCGCCTACCCTGAGGTAGATGGGGCAGATGAATTAAAAAATGGTATCTAATTGTTCAGTGGTGGTGTGCTTATTCCTGAAGCTTTTGTTTTGTTTTCTCCTATAAACAACTTGACCCAAACAAGTCATAAGAAAGCAGAGAATTCCTTGATCAGTCTTCTGGAATATCCCTTTAGGCCTCTTCTAGGAAAAAGCAGCACTACTAAATGTTTGGCTGCCTCTACACCAAGTATTAAAATGTCATATTGTTTTTCTAGCCTGAAATATTCTGGTGACCTTACGGGATGACCAACAGTACCGAACAACAGGCAAGAACAGAAACTCTTTGAGGGTTTTCAGGAAGGCTGAACTGCAACCAAAACTACTCAGGGGATGTGTGAAAAGTACCTTAAATTGGTCAGTATTTCTCTAGGGAAAAATATTGGAGATGCTACTCCACATTTGCATACCAGAGGAATATCTCATTGGAATGAGGGAAGTCTTGACTTCTGGCCGTATTAGAAGTGCACTGTACTGTATCCTTTAAATATTGGTCTCTTCTAAAGAAATGTTGCAACAGGAGAAATCAAGGGTTTGATTTAGCTTAAGATGATTATGTGATTATGTTCCTGCAACACATTATTCATCCAATCTACTTTGTGTTGGGCAAATAAAGCCTTATTCTATTCCTTCTGAAAACAAATGGAAAGTGAGATGACAGTACAAAGAAGAATATAACAGTGTCTATAAACAAAGCAAATTGTAAAAGAGAGAAAAGAATCAGTTCAACAGAAAAACTTGCTGACTTTATGAAAATGGGTTCAGAAATGTGGCTTGGCTTTAACAAGAAACTGGCGGCATTTTGTTTTCTTTAAGCTTCTCCTTATCATCTCCTGTACTGCTTCTGTTTCTTATGTCATCACTTCCAAAAGAAAATCCTTCACAGGAGGAATTCTGCTGCTTAGAATAAGGATTTAGTCCAATAACATTAGACAAATCTCTTGACTTTCTTTGGTTTTCTGCATTAGAAAGAAGGTGGGCTGAATGATCCAAAGCAACTTTTTCAGAAGTGTCTACAGAATGAGAAGTCCCATTCTCAAAATTATTTAAGGCACTTGACCCCTAAATCCTTTAGAGAGAGATCTGGGCTCTTACTTAGTCCCTTGTAAAAAATGAATTAAGTTCATATAGCATGTAGATGTATAAAAACTCAGTTCTCCTACTCTCCCAGGAGATGGATATTTAGCTTCTAGAGATACAGTAAGCATAGCTCAAGAGTAAAAACTCTGTAATATTTTCCCTTTTAAAATCTGGAGAAAATAAACTTCTTATTTAAGAGAAGCTTTTAATAAGCAGATTAATCTCAATAATCTAGAAAAGTTTAATTTAAAATAATTATCTGCAAAATGTCTGATCAAACACTTTTTTGCTGAATGACAGGAAACTGTCATACCTTTCTGAATCTGTCTGGTTCTTCCGAAGATCCAGGACTCTGTTTAAAAGAAAGAAAAAAAAAAAAAGGAAAAAGAAACATGAACTTAAGATCCCAGTGGAGCCTATAAATCTATAAATGAGTATTCACCTCACAGGGGATGTTTCTTTCAAATTCATGGTCACCTGGATAGAGTGAACCAGCAGGAGATTTTTTTTAATGAGCTTTTTAACACACATTAGGCAGAAAGCTGAAATGTTTTCAGGTTTTTGACTATTTGAATCGGATGAGCAGTTCTCCCAGCAATAGCTTTGACTTTACTGACACCTATTGACTATATTTATGCTTACATAAAGTTTTGATCAACAAAGCATAACTCATTACGATCAATGGCAAGCAATTCTTAGAAATACACTCTTTATTAATAGAGGTCATGCTTACCTTCCATGCAGTTTTAAGGATTTGTATTCTAAGTAAGCTTTGGATTTGAAGGCAAGGTTTCCCAAAGCAGAAAATTTTCAGGTGACTCAAATTTTAGGTGTTCGAGTTCAGATACCTTCCAAAGAACTTGCATACTGAAAGTACCAAATGCACACTTGTAAAGTCTAATCCTCCCGATCATGGTATCTTGAAGTTGAACACATAATGTAAGTAGTTAAGTTAGAAAAATCTTAATTAATAATTATGCATGTTTATGCTAAGAACATGGGAATATCTTTAGCATGCCCTAGAATATCTTATATATGGGGATGAATTGTGCCATCCTTAGCATGTCTTATATATGACAACTCAGTAACTTCTTTAATCATTTGGTTCTTGCATCAAAATACTTCCTCTTTATTTCATTCCAAATCTTTAGCCTGTAAAGACAGTTTCAAAAAGGACTAGGTCCTTCTGTGCACAGTTACTTTCTAAGTCAGTTCAGTCATTTGCTATTCTGATCACTGTGTTTCACAGCAGGAGACACAAATAATGAACAGTGAATATATTCTTACTGTAGAGGAACTGTTAAAAAAATAAATCAATGGAGAATGTTGTGTGGAGCAAGGGCAAAAAACTAGAAATCCATGTGCCCAGAACTAGATGTATATCCAAAATATTCACACACACAAACATCTCACAGTCCCCAACTGCATGCATCTTTGACAATAGGCAATTGTCGTCTGTTTTGAACCTTCCATTTTGAGAAATATTCTAAGCATTGCTTACAAAGGGAAAAAGATAGCACACAACTCTGATTTTAATACAAAAATATTTGTGCTTATATTTATAAATACATGGCTATGTTTGTTCTGTCTTTGATGGCATTTACTAAGGGAGATTTTACTTAAACAGACATACACACACGTACTGTTGAATTATGACTAGCAATGTGAAGCAACCTAAAAAGAGCAATGGCAGAGATCAGCAACTGTGAATTGAGTGCTGTCACCTACCGGTGAACTCATGGACTCTTTCAGTTTAGATTTGTAGAGCATCCATCGGTAACGCAGGTCCTCCAGATCTTCAGAATTTCCAATGACAGGATGAAGATGAAGAAGGTCCTCAAAGAGACACTGACCATCAGGCACACGAGACTGCAGCTCCTGCAGGCAAAGACAAGGTCAGCAGCAACTCAGAATTCAAGAAGGTCCCCTCTTTTTCAATCTAGCATTTGAAAGGACAGTGGTACTAAATCAAACTCCTGGGTACTCTGGAATACACATTTATTTTTGTTATCACTTTTCTGGCCTGAAATCATATAAAAGGGTCCACTCATCTGCAGGACTCCTGTAGCCTTGGATACTTCTGTTTGTTTAATTTCTTACAGCATCCATTGTCATTGCATCTGGCTATACTGAACAGAACGAGTGAGGCCAAATAGGAGACACTGATTTTAATCAGCTTCTTTTAATGAATACCTTTGCCATACTATACTGGAAATGTCCAGTCCAACAGCTAGATGCCAGGGTGCTCCCTTCCTTCCACTTCCACTCCCTTCTACCACTCTGGCTCTGGCAGACCTTTCTTAGTAGAAGGGGTGAAACACTTGTCCTAAATTCCTGAGCTTCATCTACTCCAGAGTCTCCCAAAGCAGAGAGTTCAGTGTTTGAGAGGTTTTTTTTTTTGGGGGGGGGAGGCTTGGGTTTTTCTGTTTGTTTGTTTTGTGGGTTTTTGTTTGTTGGGGTTTTCTGTTGGTTGGAGGGGGTGTGTGGTTTGGTTTTTTGTTTGTTTAGTTTTTTAAATTCTGAAAGAATTTACACTTATTGCAATCTTTGTCTCCATCTTCGTCTCCTGAAAACTAACCTCCAGTTTGCTCCGGCGTGCCTTAATTTCCTCTGTGGAAGATGAAGTCACAGCAAGAATTTTCGTCAGTTTGGCGTTTTCTCCTTGTAACCACTCTTCAAAGTCATGTAGGAGCTTCAAGTGGCTGCTCGTATTTTGGCCTTCTCCTATCCTCTCCTAGGTTACAGAACAAAAGGAACAAGAAAGCCCTTACTGTTATGTCAGGCGTTTCCTCTGAAGGCCTGATTGCAGGATCTTAACCTCCAACTTGGTAACCCATAATACCAGATGAAGCCAATAAAATTGTTCCTGTGAAGCTGATATGAATGCAGATACAGAATCCCCCTCTCACCTGCTTATGGTTTGGATCTACATCTAGAAGATGGAAGGCAGGTCCAGACATCCATCTGCTGTCCACAAATGCTATTTTCTTCTTATCAGCCACTGGTCTATTTAATTGCCACTTTTTGAGAAGACTTGAAAACACAAAACCAGAGACATCAGTGCAGTGAAACATCTAGTGATGAAACATCCACATTTTAACCAAGGCTATGGGGGACGCATCTGGTGAAACAGCACTATTATTATACTATTATTAATAGTAATAGTGCTATTAATAGTAAAGTTATTTCCAACATCTTTTTAACAAAATAAGATCAAGACAGGAGTGTCTCAAAGCAGCATCAGTCTTCTAGTTCTAACATTTCCAAGCGTTTTGGTTTTCTTTATTCACGGGAGTGAGGGACCAAAAAAAATACTACTTTGACAATATACCTTCCCATCTGGTAACAGCAGGCAGTACAAACAAGACTTCCTCAGTTTAGTCATTCCATTTTTATGCCTATTCTGACACTATGTATGAATATATTCACACATGTAGCACAGTATTAAATTTTAATACAGACTAGCAAATATAAGCAGCAGTTTGACACTGCACAGTGAGGGCAAAATAAATTAAGTCCACATTTGCCAGCTAAGAGAGGATTTTAGCTCTGTTTACTCTCTTGCAGGTTTGCAGAAGGCACAAATCCCAGGGCAGATATAGCCTGCTTGGAGATATCTCCAGAATAGGCAGTGAGAACAGGAAGGTGAGGCAGAAGAGCAGAAGTCACCCAGTCTATGGCCTATTTCCTCTGACATGGACTAGCAGTATGAGGGTGAGCCAGGTCCTAAGAAGACACTGCCTACTCCAAGCATGAGGTAAAGGCAGCTTGATACACTGCTCTGGTCTCCAGATTCTAAAATGGTTTTCTTGAAAGCAATGATTTCCAGTTTACAAACATTTAAACAAAATCTCATCCTGCTCCTAGCATTGTAACATAGCTGTTCAATTTCACAGCACAAAGCATAAAGCATCAAGTCTGCCTGATCATATATCAGTAAAGAGCATCCCCTTGAAGGGACATGAGGAAGATGTACATGAACACTTACCCAGTTGCCATCTCCTTCAGTGATCTCCACGACTCCTTCAGCTGATCCAGCTCTGCCGAGACATGGGCAGTCTCCTCTGGGGAAGAATTCTCCATGACCAGCTGGCCATGAGCTTCCACAAGGTGCAGCTGGATCTCCTTATCTGGAAACTCTGCTAGCCATCTCTGAAACGTACAGCCCTTACAGTTACTTCTAGGTATCCTGGGTAAAGCAGAGGCTATGTCAGACTGAAGGCCATGTTCAGTCCAGGACTATGCTGGTTGTGTTGGCACTAGCTAGCACATACCTAGCGGGAAAAAAATATATGCTGTGGATTCTTGCAAAGAGCCAACATAGGTCAAAGAGCTTATGGCAAAACTTAAGAGGGCACAAGCTGTCAATGCACCCCTTCTGTAGCCTTCCCATGAGTTATCTCGATTTCCCGTATGAAGGCAAATGTTGCCAGCTGAAGTAATCGGCCAGAGTGAATCTAGCCTGCAAAATACCACTACACAGGGAAAAGCTAGCAGCTGTGGAACAGCTCAGTTCAACACAGTATAAAGTTAGTTAACAGGGCAATGATGTTCAATGTATTGATGAGTACATACAGGCAAAGGCATGTATCGCCCAGAGAGATCACCCTGGCAGGAAGATCTCTTTTTACAACCTCCTATTCTTTGATAATACTTCATCCATCTCAACAGTTCTTAGCCATTTCTCACTGTTCTTGTCTTTTTTCTAGCTCCACATGCCACACCACAAGGCAAAGCAGGGAGGCAGCAGCAACCAACAGTTATCACAAAAGGAACAAACTATCATTACTCTCCCCAACCAGGAAACCCTCACTAGAAAACCCCCACTCTTAATGTCTGAATGCTGCAAAGTGAATGATTAACATCTTACTCTAAGATGTTTTTCTCACCTCAAGGTCTGCCACCCTGCCCTCAGTGTTCTGCTCTCCATCAGCACCCTGGTAGGAGTCAATCTTCTCCGTGGTTAATGTGATCCATTGCTGGAGGTCAGAGAGTTTGTCGTTATATGCCCAATACTTCTGAACGTGCTCTTCACTCTGCTGTATCATCATCTAAAAATGATAAAAATGTCAGCAACTAAACACAGACAAAAAGATGTTTAATTACTGGATTTAACACTGTGACTACTGGTACTGAATCTCATGAGCAAGAAGGAAAAAATCAGCTGTTGGTGAGACACAAAAAACTTTGTCCTTTAGCATCAGTGGCATAGAAAATGCCCACAAGCTCCTACAGTCGTGAATTCAACCACATGGGGGGGCATTAAGCACTAGAATAGCTCCCTTCCTTTTCAACTGAAACAGTTAAGTTTATGTTTGTTTTTTTTTTTTTCTCCAGTCAATATTAAATACATCTTATACTCCCTGAATCAAAAATGACTGTACAGACTTTTTTGGTAAAAGTCCTGTTCAGCGATAAATGGCATTATTGAGATTGAAACTAGAATTCCACAGTGCATATTAGGGTAACACTTTATCATACGTATTTTTATTGACATGCATAACTAAGGTAATTTTATAAGCTCTTCTGAGACTGCTTTGGAAGGTCCTTTTATAGCTATGTTTACAAGCTACAAAATGCCTCAGGTCAAAACAAGTACTTATGCAATTGCAACACTTTTCTCTCATTAACTTTTAGGTCACAAAGCTATAAAAAACTGAACAGTTTGGTACAAAACTACTATCCAGGAATCTGTAAAGAAGTCCAAGTACCTCCATGATAATATAATTATGAGGTCTTTTGGTAAGAAATATCAGGTCCACTCCAGAAATAATTTATAATAAAATCTGTCTGAATGGTATCCTATCCCAAAGGGAAATCACATTACAGATAATCAGAGGATCCTGGAAGAGCTATCAAAGTCATAAGAATTCAGTATCTTCTTCCTCTGAAATGAAAACATCCGTCACTCAAAGCATATAATCTCATATGCTCAAAGATTTTTAAAATATTTTTAAATAGTGGCAACTGACAACTCCTCAGGCAACTAAAAACTCTTCCTCATGTTACCTCCAATGATCTCTTCAAGGCCTGAGAGTCAGATGAAAGTTGGTTCATCTCATGTCTGTGTGTGGTATTTGACTGAACAAGCTTCTCTACCTCCTCCATTTGAATCGCAAGCTCTGCCAAGTCATCTTGGATGATCTGCAGAGGAAAAGACAGGTTCCATATTGGTAATGTGCTAGATATGGCATGGACCTCTGGAAAACATACACTAAAGGTAGTTTCACTTGACAGCGTGAGGACAAAAAAACAGGAACAATCACTGTGATTAAGAAAATCAATTGTTTTGATGTCTAGGCGTAAATGTTTCTGAAAGAAATGGTTTGATCTCCTTACACGTTACTAGTTGATAACAAAGAAGATAAGTTGGTGAGAAGCTGCCAGAGGACACATAGTATAATCAGCTAAGAACTACAAAGAACTGTGGTGATAACACCCCTGTGGTCACCAAGGGTGATGTGGCACCGTATAGCTGAATCACCATAGCTCACCACGGCGAAATGGAAGGGTCACATCCCCTCTCTCTTCCCCTTCTGCTCTTCTCTCTCCTCTCCCAGCCATGTAGTCCCACTGCATGCCTTGAGCGTATGGGACCCTTTGCTGAACCACTGTGACACGCTAAACAAGTGGAAAATTATATATAATCTTTTTCTATTGATTATTTTTTCCTTATCTTGGCCAGCTGAATCAGCCTGTGGAGTAAATCCAGCACATGTCAAAGCTGTGACAAGTTAAAGAGCAGAAAGGGAGGGATGCAGAAGGAGGTAGGACAATGGGAACTCCTTGCTTTTGGAGGGAGTTAGATTGGTTATCTGGTGCAGTTTCAATCCCAGTGGGAAGTATCGGGGTACATTTTCTTTAGCACTAAAACTAGCCCAAGAAGGTGTGGCACCAACAGCTTCCAGCTGCTTGTTCCTTCCCTCAAGCCCAGTCTGCCAGTTCTAGAGTTGCATTACTTCAATTTCATTTACTCCATGCTATAAACTAGTCCAAATGAAATTATCTAACACACAATCAATTGAGGAGACAAGGTACTGAATTCCTAATGCTAATAAAATATGAACAAACAGGACCACAATGAACTGAGCATATCATGATCAAACATTACTGTAATGTACCTGGAGTCTCTGGAGTTGTGTCTTTTTACCCAAGAGGTCAGGCTGCGGTTCCTTCTCTAGATCTAATTTGGCTTTGATGGCAGATAATTTCTTCTGCAAAGGTGCGAAACCAGCATCAAAGTCCTTATGTTGTGATATCAAATTCTAGATGGAGAAAGAAGAAGAAAAAAGATACACCATTCAACATATATCCTTTGGCATTATCTTTTGTCAATGTCCATTTCGTACTCAGAACAAACACCAAGCTACACTACGCAATAGACCACAGATGTATTTGAATATTTGATCAACCTAGGAAAAAGGGATTAGGCACAGCTGGTTAGTACTAAATTTATACCTATAAAGCTGGCTTAGTATAAGATTGATCATTGTCTTTGTCACAGGTAAAGACTGTATATAGGCTTTGAAGCTCACCTGGAGTTTGCTCTTGCTTTGCAGCAGACTTTTGTGTAGAATTTCTCTCTCCTTTGAAGCTTCAGCTAATTCTTGCAGGAAAGACTTTGCTTTTTCCTCACCAAGGACATTGTTTAGCAAATCTTTCTTCAGCTGTAATGTCATCAACTTCTCTTTGAACTGGGAGCTTTCAGCTAGAGCAGCCTAAAGGAGAAAAATTCTTCCAGTGAAATCACACCAAAAAAATAAAAATCATATAACCATATTATTCTCACGTAAGTCACACAACCAAAGCAGTATGACAAAGTCAGGTAAAAACAGCATGCTGGGCCGACAAGGGGTAACAGAAGGTACCTGGACAGTGCCCAGTTAAAGGAAAAGTCTTCCTGATAATGTTAGAAGCATCAGGGCTGCATCCATTTTGTGAACAGAAATAGAGGAAAGCTGTACTATGGAAAGAGTTGTCTGTGCAGAGGAGAGGCCTAAACAACCAACAGAAAGGACAGCTTGAATGCTCATCCCAAGGATAAACTCCATCCCTGTTCACAGACACATTTATTCTGGAGATCACAGGGATGACAAAGTAACAAACACACCTTGCTGGGCACATGCAGAAATCATGCATTATAATGCCACAACTATATGACTAGTCACTTCTTAAGAGAGTCCACAGGCTTCCCATCCAGGGAGATCTGGGCTAATGCTAAACAATCTTATCATCATTGTTAAAGATATCTAGCACTTTAATTCAGCCTATTCATTTGACAACTCCAGTTAACAAAAGGGAGGGCAGAAAGTCAGACAGTCTGCTATAGCTAGAGCTAAGTACTGACCTCCATACTGTGGGGTTTCCTGCCATACTGGAAAGGCCCTTCCAGCTGCTAATCAATTGAGGATGTATGCAGGCAGCTGTATGCAGGCAGCTGCTGGCATAGCTCGGGCAAACACAAACCAAGTATCAGTTTCTGAACTTAGGAACAGGTTTTCTACCTCAATGTGGGCCAGCGCTGGCTCCGGAGTCTCCAGGAGCATCTGGACTGATGGCTTCCACTGTTCAAAGTCTCGCAGGGGATTTTGGAAGAGCCTTCTCAGTTGGGTTTCTGTATCCGTGCTCATTTTAGATGTCTTGCCTCTAACACTGCAAGGATAAAGTGACAGCCGAGAGAAGGATTATGAAGAAATCCAAGTCCAAACATCCTATTCATCAAGGCATGAATTAACACAATACTCGTGTGTAAACTGTATCCAACACAAAAGCCTCAGTCTTTTTTACTGTCTGAGCCTGGTGTTGCATACTGACAGCTGTTCTGTCAGAGACATTTGACAAAACTTTATTGAGATGCTGTAAGACACATTTGTCTCTCGTGCAACTGTGTATCAGGAATTACTTTGCCTTCCTAGCAGCCAGCAGTTTCCCCTTGTACATGATTTTTCTTGGCTGCTATCACTAGCATGATTTAACAAATCGTATTGTCGGAGCAGTCTGACTGATGGGAGGAACAAGCCAGGAGTGTCTAGAATTTAACTGCAGTTGCCTGAATTGTTTAACATATTAATGAGTCTTTGTTCCTTAAAAAAATTACATTAAGAAATCTTTGATCACCCTATGTTAACCTACAAAAAGAAGAAAATAGATTTCTTTTTAGATATAATTTTTTTAGATTTTGCAGAACTACTTGTATTAATATATATAGGTGATTCTGAAAAAAGCTTTGTATTTTCATATATATATGTACACACATACATGCACATATATGTGTGTTTATATAGATAATGAAAAAAAATAAAATCAGCACACATTCATTACAGATCCAGGCTTCTCTTAAAAAGGCTTATCCGAAATACAGCTGAGTAACAAGGCCTAGCAGTGACACACCCCATGCAGCTGCCTCCTGTTTTTCTCAGCTTTCCTGACCTCCCAGTTTGCAGAATCCTATTTGATATGGCAGAATGTAGCCCAAACTGTACGTTCATACGGGAACAGTATCCTGCAAATTGGCAAGAAAGGAAGGCAAGAGCATTGCCAATCAACATTAATACTGCTTTTCTATAAAAACAGAAACAACAATCTTACCTGTGTCGCTGGGACGTTAGGAGCTAAACAAAGACAAGCTTGCAAAGGCCCAAAGCTCCACAAATAGAAAGTTCTGACATTACATGTCCTTTGCCATTTGCTCTGCTGCCCCTGCCAGGCGCACTGCAAAGCTGCCAGACTTTGCAAAGAAGCTTTGGAGAGAAGCTGGCAAAAGAGCAGCTGCCATTTTCTGCTCAGAGTTAAGTCCCCTGCCTTCTCTGCTTCTCTTTCAACATTGTTTAGTTGTTAGTTTTTAGACTGAAATTCTTTTCCATAATGACCTATAACCCTTCCAGCAGGACAGCATACCGTGCACTGGACAGAGGAAAATAAGCTTGGATACAGTAAAAAAACTGACCTTTCTTTTTCCTTAAAAAAAAGATCCTTTCTTCTAGTTTGCAAAATTTGCTGCAGCTTCTTTACTTCCTGATTCCAGGCAGCCTGGAAACGGAAACACTGAAGTCTGGGGAGAGGCTAAACTTTCAGAGTTCCCAACCCAAGGCAAGTTGAAAACACGAGTCATGCATATGTGCCACCAGGAGAAGAGGAATAAACCCTGCCAAATAATTGCTAAGGCTGATGAGTCACCACAACAAACTTAACAAGGGAGGGCTGTAATTCTTCTGAACCGTTTACTACTACAGCTCCTGTCCTGATTTTCTAGTTGCTGTCATGAAAGGCAAGCAAAATACATAAATTATTATTATAAAATGCTAAGAAGATCAAATTAGCTGCCAACAATCTAATTTTCCTCAACCAGTACACAACATTAATAATGCAAGATCATTGCTTGAAAATGGCCAGCAGCCTACAGCTCCTAGCAAATGGCTAAAATTACAGGTTTACTGAAATGTGGAGGTGGATGTAATTAGCTAAAGCCTTTCTTTTCTACCTGTCACCTACAATTGCATGGCATATCACCTTTTTCTTAGGCCCTAGTCAATCCCTTCAATGTCTGAGAGAAGATTCCCCCAACCCCCCCAGCATAATCAGAGTTCCCACTACCTTTGATACTGTTGTATTGCAGAGACAACACTCTCAGCGTGTGGCTGCACATCTTGGGAAAACCGTAGCAGTTCCTTAAGCTGAACCTTCAGCCTCTCAACCTTGGACTCTTCTGCAGCCAGAGCTGCTCTCGTTGCCTTAATCATAAAAACAATGAACAGATCACACCTTATGTAGTGTCTGGCACATGAAATGAAGAGATAAGGCTGTCTCAGGGTATTCACAAGTCCCCTTTCTGCTGCCTTTTTTCCTGGTTGTAAGGAATATGGACTTTGCTAAGGTAGAAGACATTCTCAGGAATAGTGTTGTTCCTGCAGGCTGCCTCTCTTCTCACACTGCCTAGCCTCTGCATCTGATCTGCAGGGTTCACTGTTTGAACAGAGTGAATCACAAACAGGCCCAGTTTCAGTTCATCAATTGCAGTGTATAACATGAGATGCCTTTTTGGAGCAGTCTTAACTATGTCTGTTTGCATGAACAGATTTTTCTCAAAGACTCATATATACAGAATGTTAATTCTAGGGTGACATAGGGAAATGAAAACAACAAAAAAACATGCAAATGTAGATGGATTGAACCAGTCTGTATTTTTTGCATATACTTCTCCCAGCTAGTCCTGCTGAGGTCTAGGCATACAGATAGCAATGAAAGGCATTTTGAGAAGGGATAATAAATGCAAAACCAGCCCTCAAGAGGAAATGAGTGGTAAAGATTCTTATCTACTCTATATGTGACAAATGTTTTGCACTCATTTTTGCAACAGATTGATTTTGGTGTAAATGCTGGATTGCTACAAACTTGGGACTTCTTAGGAATGAAGATGTCTCTGCCAGTACAGGAATACAGGTATTCACTTTACATCGCTGAAGGATATAATATAGAAATGGTCTTACCAAATACCCCAGAAAAATGTGTATTTTTGTGTGCATATGTATGTATGCATTTGTACATACAGTGAGGCATTACTTTCCAGCTTCTTTTTAAGTAAAGCAAATTGTGTTGTGTGTTCTGTATTGTGCTCTTTTTGCCTATGGTCCCTTTGAACTCAAGACACAAACTCCAACACATCCTGCAACCCCACTCCCTCAGTGCAGAGTGAAAGAAAACGTTAGCATAGTTGATTCCATTGTTGCGATTAAGATTTTCCTCAGTCTGTTTCATACACACTCATACTCTTTCCTTATCACCTTTAACCAATGGGACAGGCACCTGTGGGATGTGACTATGCATGTTCAACCTATGACTGCACTTGATCCTGCTGGTTTTAGGCGCACAAAAGGTAACAACTTACATTGCATTTTCTCCACAGAGTTACAAACTCATCTTCAGTCTTTTCACCTTCCCCAGGGTCCAGGTCATTTTCTAGTCTCTGTAGATCTTTTCTCAACTCCTCGATGTCAGCTTCTAATTGTCTGGCTTGGGACTCATAGGCACTTTCTGCCTGTTGGATCTTGAGCAATCTCTCTTCTTCTTCACTACTCAGCAGTTTCAACTTCTCCAAGGCTTTTCTTAGCTCTTCGAGTTCATCTTTCATTCTCTCAGCTCCAAGTGGGGAGGTATTCTGAATCACCTCTGCACACTGATTTTCAAGGTGCTTCCATTTCTTTCCACCACTCTTAATGTTTTTGGCAATTTCCTGCAGAAAGAAGTTAAATAAAGATTAGATGCAGGAATGGGAAGTTGGAGAAAAAGCTGAAAGCCGTAGGAAAAGAAGACCACCCCTCCTGGTTGTACATATTTTGTTCTTCACTTCTCATTTCAAAGTATGTCTTTTTTCAAGTGACTAGAAGCCAGGGTTGGTCATTTGACTGCCTTCTGAGTAATACTAGCTGCCATGATTCTGAAAATATTGGCTTGATATTTATCAATGCTTGTCACCTGAGGTCACTGACAAAGAAAACAGGAGCTGCAGGCACTAAGAAATACTAACAGTCAGATCTCTGAGAGATTTAAAGCTAAACAGTTTAAGCAGTGGCACCAAAATATTGGATACTGTTCTCAAAACGGGTATTTTATCACCAGCTCTAAAAACTCTCAAAACCTGTGAGCCTTCAGGCTCTATTTGGATCATGTTTACTAAATATAATCCATTTAAACAAGTTTAAAGGGCAAGATTCTCAAAGAATCACATAACTGTAGGAGATCAGGCTCTAAGAAAAATAAAACAGACCAGCCTGTGACTCATGCTACAGTTGGGACAACCATATGTACTGTTTTGGGACCTGATACAACTCTTTTCCCCTAGCCTATGTTACAATCGCCACCTTATTTTGTTTGGGTAATTGTTTTCTCAAGTACAGCCTTGTGTGGTTTGAGAAACATATACAGGCATGAAGAACATACAGTCCTAGCTCCTTGTTAGATTTATATCATTTAAGGACCTTCAGTGCCTTTAACTTCTCCTCTGCCGAAGACTTGGTTGCTTCTCCAATGCAGCGGTTTAATCTTTCTGTCACACTGTTCAGCCACGATTGAAACTGGTTGATGTTAGCGCTGTACCGCTCATGTTCCTTGGTTATCTTTTCAAGCAGTTTTACTCTGCTCTGTAACAAGAAACATCAGAAGCTGTGAGGACACTGCTTATCTGGCTCTTTTTTCTTTACACTGTAACCCAGAATTTATAAACAAGAGTCCCTTTCCGGGAGCCCCGATAGCATTTGGCCTCCCCAGGAATTCACAGTTCACCTCAAGAAACAGAACACAGAGGTACATAAAGGCTTGTCCCCATCTGGGTCGTGCTGCAGGCCCTCAATGGCCAGTCTCCAAGGAGACAAACTGCAAGGTCCTCTCAGGTGATTTTCTAGCCTCTCCCTTCCAAAACTTCCCGTTCTCTCATTAGAAAAAGACAAGAGGTAGAAGTCTGTTTCTGGTTTTTACTTTGGGAGACAAGCATTTATGTTCCCCATGCCAGTTAAAAATAAAGATGAGCAGACAACAAAGATTGACTTTACCTGTCTCTCAAAAGAGAGACTGTGCTAGAGGCATGCAAATTGGTTTAAGTTGTTCATTATTTAAGCAGGCTGCACAGAAAGCGACCATTACGTTCAAACATGTAGCCCAGTAACTTTCATACTTATTCAATTAGCAGATCACAAACTATCCTATGGTGGTATCACAGATCCTGGAAGCAAATTTAAGCCTATACGAAGCAGGCCTCATTTTCTGAGTTACTGCGCGTGCACCCTATAACCCACAATCCCTGAACTTCCAGGGGCATGAACTTCCAGCAACTTCCATGAGGTACTCCCTGCTGATCCAGTCTGGCACCCCTCACAACAAGGCAGAGTCACATTTGCTCAGACTATCCTTGTTTGTCAGTTGAAGTTTAGGCCTTGCTGAAGGAAATTTTAAACAAATCACGAGGAATCCTGCTCTGTTGTTTCACTAGTATAATATCCAATCCAAGTAGTCTTTCCTGCAAAATCAGACTGATTTTTTCTTGCCTTTCACCAGCATGGAGAGCAATTAAAGTACACTATGGTTACATTAGAAAAAAAAAGTTCCTTGTGCAACCCATTTAGAGCTTGCTGTACCCTTGAAAGGCTTTGCTGTCACAGACAATAGGCTGAGTTTCATTTTGCCTAATATGTGCCACAGCCTGTGCCTCCGAGCAGACCTTCATCCCAGCTGCCCTCCACAGAGAGTAGGGTGATAGCTGCAATGGTGGGCAGAGTTTCAAAGTCCCCTCTGCATTTTCTTTGACTCTGCAAGGCTCTGGGCATGTCCCCACACCTGTCAACGTGCCTGAGGTGGCAATGGGCCATTGCCATCCTGTCAGCCTTTCTCCAGCTAGGCCAGCAGAAGGGTGGTGTGAGCATCGGTCACCATGGGATCTCCCGTGTGCCATGGGCTGGTGGTCCCTCTGGGACTTTGCCCTTAACCTTTGGGACACGTTATGTCCATGGTGCAGTATAAAGCCACCACTCTCCAAGTAGCATGACACCAGTCTATTTTCCACACTGCCACTGCAATCTCTGCTGACTTGTGCAAATCAAGAGTGACTCCCCTAAAGTTAATTGACTTGCTTTGAGACAAAAGAGGGACAGCTAAGGGACAACTGCTTCCCATGGAGGATGAAGTGCTGCTCACTTATTAGGGCGGGACCTTTAATTGCACCACCTATGGAAACATGGGTTTGGATGAGATCAAAAAGCAGAATTATGACTGCAGACTTCTGTGGCCAAGATGTATCCAGCAGAACACCTCACTTGTTTGCTAAATCCCCATGTCTTGATTCTCAGATCTGTAGAGGTGCATACAGGTTAAATGATTCTCACTTTGACCTCAAGTTAGGGATTTGAATGCAATCGTAAATTGGTGTAAATGAGCCAAACATCGAAGTGAAACAAGTCAGCCCAACCTTAGTGATTCCAGGGAATTAGGCTAATTTGTTCCACTGACAGAAGCTCCAAAGGGAGTAAGTCAGAATAACGAAGAGGAGCTATTATTAAACTCAAAAGTCTTACGCTAATATATAGAGGGTTAAAAAGGAAGTTGAAATGACCCACCCCAGGCCAAGCTATTCAGCCAAAACAAAGGAGCACACAGTTTGGATACTCCTTCTGGCCCATGAGGTCAAGGAAGAGATGCAATGGATCTGGACAGACTGTGCTAGCTGACAAACAAAAGTCTTACAAAGAGCTGGCTGAGCTCCCCCCGCACCAAGAGGTTATGCATGGAAACTTTCTAATGGTGGAAAATATGGTATCACTTGCTTCCCTTAGGTTAGCTGTTCAGGGAGCAGGACAGTGTTAAACTCAATCACCACATGCACTTGGTTAATGTGAGGAGTCATTAAGCAAGGA